AGTGCCCCTCTCTCCTAACTTTGATCACTGTCCCATCACAGATCCTGGCACCACCAAGTGTCTACACAAGAGAGACTCGATCTATGTCTGCACATGCCCTTTGAAGTGGTGCCTGCTGGTGTATAGCCATAGGGACCAGGCAGAATCTGTTTCTGAGCAGGTCCCTTTCTGCTGTCTGAGGAACTACTGTCTTATATGTGTTGATTCTCATTTGCTAATTATAATTGTTTTGAGATCTTTTTATTCAGTAATAAATACTAATCTCCCCCACCCCCCAGAAAAGTCATTTTCTGTTTTAGCATATCAAATAAAACATATTTCACATCTGTTTTCCTTAGTGTTTCCGGATGCCCGTTAGCTGATAAGACGTTAAAATCCCTCATGGCTGCCAATTCTCAGGAGCTTAAGTAAGTATTGATAACAGAAAAAATGACAATAGAAAACATATGATTTATCTCCTATCAACAGGTTTCCCTAATGAATGCAGTTATTTATTTGGGATGAGTAAATTGTTTGGTATAAATGAAGAGCCTTGTACAAACATTTAAGTGGGTACAGTCCAAAACCTTTAGCTAATATCCCTTGTTATAATAGGAATCACTTGTTTTGTTGTTGTTGTTGTCATTTTGCATCGTTTGCACCTCTTAGTTTCTATGCATTATCCAGGACCTGAGACAGTATGAGAAACTGTATTGGTGATATTCCTGAGCCAGCTGTAGACAGAACGTACCAAAATCTTGCAAGAAGTCTGATTTGACAAAATACCCCATCTGATTTCTAGATCAAAGAGGCTAGGATAAGTATAAAGACATTTGAAAACCAAACCAAATTTCCAGATCTCTAGCCTTCATCTTTCACCACCAGATATGCTCAGCTTAACATTAGTGAGACAAGCATCACATCATATGATTTGATGTTGCATATTTCTTACCATAAAATGTCACTTGCAAAAAGGATTTTGCCAGTCACCGTGCATTAGGCAGCTGTATATGTATAATCCGTAGTCAAAAGAAGGATAGGCAGCCAATCACCTAGTTAGTGGTTTTGTGCTATGAGCAGGATGTTTGAGACTTTTTGATGGTTGTTTCCCAACCCTATTTTCTCTCTGCACCCAGTAAATGGGGTCCTGCAATATATAGCTTGGAAAATCATTGTGAAGGAAGAGTTGAATGACTGTCCATCCTATCCCTCTTTAGAAGGATTACCATTTCAGATAAAGGACAAAAAATTCCACATATAATGTTTACACGGCATTAATGGTGTTAAAAAGTATGGGTGGCCAAATCCAGAGAAGTCCATTTTTTTCAGTTCAGGGCTTAGTCACTAGCGTTACTACTTCCCCAAAATAAAATGATGATGCATCCAGTCATGCTGTCCCATGTTGTAAACAATATGGTGTGTGATGCTAGTAAAGGAAAACCCACATTCTGGGTATGAAGCAAAGGTGGCAAGAAAGAGCCAGTCATGTTAGGACATGTTCAAAGCAGTTCCCAGAACAGAGGCTTTGCTGTGATGTTGGCACAGTGACACAATGACTCAGTTTGTTTTCAACAGAGCTGTGCAAAGAGTATGAAAATGTTGTCAAATTCTAAAGCAATTGCTGATTCCACTGTCTTAGTCCCTGCTTCTGTTTGCTTGCCAGGAGCACACACCTGAATGGGTGTTCACGCAAATATTGTTAAAGGCTGTTTTTCATGTTGCCTCCCCTATAGTCACATGTCGGCATTGTCATTAGCATTCCAATATGGCTGTTTTCCCACTAAAGCTTCTATAGTTTCAGTTGTGTGTTAAGAAAAGGGAAGCAACAACACGTGACGTAAGTGACAAACCACTCACTATGAATAACAAGTGAGCTGTGAAAGTCAAAGTTCATGAGCAACTCACAGCCAGAAATATGTTGCATAAAGCACTTAGCAAAATAGCAGAAATCAAAACCTGCTCAGAAACAATTACCAAAAAGGAAAAGGCGTTGGATAAAATCTTGGCTGGAGGATATCACCCTGTAAACACTGACTGGGAGAGTGTTTCTCCCAACTACATTTCAAATAAACTCTCCTTTTTGAAATCAAGGTATGTTATTCTGTAGCAAGTGTGTCAAACTTGGATGCCAAATCTAGATACAGCAGCGATGGTGGGGCAAGTGGCAAGGGGGCAAGTGGTGGTGCAGGGGGTTACTGGAGATGTTGCTTGCCCCTAACACCAACATGCCCCGGTGGGGCTCCAGCCCTTGGATTTCAGCAACAGGCCCCACCTCTTCTCACCCTGCTGAATTCCTGGCCCCTCTGGGAGCTATGGGGATCAAACAACATGGTTCCATGGGCTGAATACATTTGCACCCATGGTTCCATGGGTGCATATACATTTGCACCCCAGTTTTAAAGGATTAATTCGAAAGAGATGTTGTTTCCAAAATCTGGCTATCACATTGACTCTATGGCCTTAAGAAGCACAACTTCTCTGTCTCAATTTCTATTTCTGTAACATAGAGATAACATTTAAAATATACCAGTTTCTGTAAGTAAATATCAGGTCCCATAAATTCTGATGACAGCTCTTCATAGAGAAATTGATAAAGCTGTGTGTTGATTTTTATTTAAGTGTTATTCTTTTATAGCAAAAGTCATATTTTGCAAAGAAAACTTTAACATAATCTGTATAAAACCACAATGCTGCACTATGCAGTACATTCCAGGTTCCAGATTAACAAAATTCAATTGGAACAGGAAAATAGGAAAGCAATTTACCTATTAGATGCAGCAAGAGATAGTTTTGTTTGTTCAAAGAACAAAAAAAAAATCTCTATTGCTATTCCTCCTTATGCGTTACAAATTCATCTGGTACAGTATGCTTGCTCCCTATTATATTATATTATATTATATTATATTATATTACAGGTGCCCAACACCTGGTTGTGATGGCTCTGGTCACGTCACTGGAAATTATGCTTCACACAGAAGGTAAGCATTGTTCAGTTTTTTCAGAGTCAAGCTGGGAGTAAGTCATGGCAAGTGTCAGTTGAAAAAAAAAGGGACTTTACTCTGTATAATTCTTTCAGCTTGTCTGGTTGCCCTCGGGCCAGGAAAGGTGGTGTCAAAGTGACTCCTACCAAGGAAGAAAAAGAAGACCCAGAACTTAAGTAAGTGCCGAGTCTTATCAGTCGCGAGGGATTACAGCTTGGTGGAGGCAGCTGTGTTTGGTTCAATCCTAAGAATTTTGCTAATTAAATTTATACATATGAAGGTCTGGCTTCATATTATCTGACTTCAGCTAAATGAAGTATTTGTAGTGCTAGTGAAACTGAGGGAACATTTACCTTGGTCTTGTGTGAATACAGGACAGGTTTGTTTTCTCCTGCGTTTTGTAAAATAGTAAGACCCAAAATTGCCAAAATTTATTGGAAATGTGGCAAAATGTATAAAAATTCAGTTTTTAACAGTGGCAAATCTCTCTCTGTTTACCTTTATCTGGCACATTCATCATAATCAGAAATGAAATGTAATCCTGGGTCCAAATAACAAATTCTTGCAGAAAATTGTTAAAATCATGTTTCACACCTGAATACCCTTCCCCCTCCCAAGAGTTAATTTAGAGAGCTGGGATAAGGCTCATGAGAATCAATAAGTTTCCTTTTGGGACTTGAGTGGTACGTAGGTCTTGTGCCGTCTCTCTGCATCTAGGGTGAAATTTGTCCCAAGGTGAAAATCAGTTATTCCATGCAAACTTTATTCCTGGCTTGAAGGTATCCTCTTTTAAACTAAAGAAAAAATTCAAAGCAGTGTCCATAGATCTGATGTGTTCTGACACATCTGACCAGTTCATCTACAGCAGAGGCTAAGTTATACCTGTTCAGCTATTAATATGTGTTAATGCTGATTTTAAAAGTCTGGTGACAGAGGCATGTGAAAAAGGCCCATGCACATTCTGGCTAATGGTGTTAGAGCTTTGCAAAATTATGAGGTATCACCCTGGCAAAGATTTGCATATGAAAATAACAGCTATAACAGCTTTCTGCCTGCAGAAAACCAGCTTCTGTTTTTTTTTTTTTTATCAAAGATGTAAAGACAGAAAAACTAATGTTGCCTCTTTACAAATTTGTCAAAATGTGATTCCCTCCCTTTTTTACCCCAGTAAGAATATTGGCACTTTTTTTTTAGCTTAGGTCTAGATAATGCCTGCGCTGTAGCTTTTAATACAAATACATAATCCTGAGTTTTGTTGAATGCACATAACACTCATTGACCTCAATGGAAGATTCAGGTACACAGTGTCTCTCAGGGTCAAGCTTTAAAACAATAGCATAAACAGTGTAGCCAGTTAGACTTGTTTCTTAGAGGATGATGCACACTCTTTTTTTTTTTTGTAGATGTCCAGTAATTGGTTGTGATGGCCAAGGTCATATATCAGGTAAATACACATCTCATCGCACTGCTTCTGGTTGTCCTTTGGCTGCCAAGAGACAGAAGGAGAGTCCACTCAATGGGTCCTCGCTATCTTGGAAGCTGAACAAACAAGAGTTGCCACACTGTCCTTTGCCAGGCTGCAATGGGCTGGGACACGTTAATAATGTTTTTGTCACCCACAGAAGGTACAATTTTCTGTTTTTTCTCTCTCTTTTTTTAATAATTCAATGTTTTTTTGGCAAAAAAGGATGGGGGGAAGTAGAGTTGCAAACTAAGCAAATCATGTTCGAGTCCTATAAAAATGTTTACATAGCAATTGTGGTAGTAGAAAACAGAATAACCAGAGTCTGAACAGATGGTGAACCTTTTTTAACATTGCTCCTGTTCTGAGTTTCACAAGACTTTGTAGATTTCCTGGGAACCTGGTACAAAGGTTTTGATACAATTTATCAACTGATAAGGTTCCTAGCTAGATTCGTGTGAAATTACCAGGGGTTTTTTCTGCGTATTTTTAACAGCTGATTCAAAATGCAATTGAAATGTAATTCCAGCCATTCCTACCCAAGGTCTGAGCATTGCAGATCCAGCACTGAAGAAATTATAAAGACGAAAAAAAATTTAGCAATTTCACTAACTCTGAGAGGAAAGATAGTCCAATTTTTAGGATATTAGTCTAGGACTTGGGAGGCCTGTTTTCAAGTCCCTAATTCCTTACTCTGCCACAATTTTCTTATATGATCTTGGGTAAGTCACTCAATTTCTTTGTAGCCATCAGTTCCCTACCTGTAAAATGAGAGTAGTACTTATCTCCCTCCTGTGGGTGCTGTGAAATTAAATCAATTGCAAGAGGCAAGGGTTTCTTAGGGCGATATTCTTTATTGGGCCAACTACATAGCTGATATAAAGTTAGACAAGACATTCTTTGTCCAAGTTAAAAAATGTGAGGTGTTTAGATACAGTAAACCATGGAAGAATCAAAAGAAGCTGATAGAAGTAGTGGATCTTCCCCAGCTTTACTAGATCAGATTTATCCTTTATTTATATCTCTGTACTAGGAAAAATAGGTCATGTTAGAAAATATGTATATTATCATATTATGGCCTAAGTACTATTACCCTTTATGTTCCCAAATAGCAGAGTTTTTAGTCATGTAAGTATCATGTTTGGGACTTTCATATAGTGTGTGATTCTGCCATCTGTGTATGGTGGATCTATAAGTGTCCAAGTGGCTATTGAGCGTACATAGTAGGCTACACACTACATGGGCAGCTATATGGTTCATATGAACATACCTGAAATTAAATCCCAAAATATTGGATGATGGCGGGAGGGACCTTCCATGTTTTAGCCCTCAGAGATAAGTGCACTTGTCTAGGAGGGTTAGGGCACTTGCTGAGGAGATGGGAGACTGAGGTTTATGCTCTCAAATAGAAGGGGTATGATCATGCATCTTTTTGACTTCCCAACACAGTGCTTTTCTCACCAGACCACGGCTAGGCATTACCTAGTCACATCTTCAGCCCTTCTTTTGAAGTTGCCCCCTGGGGGAGCCAAGATAGGAGCGTATGAGTCAGAAGGACAAGAACAAGCTACAGACTGTGTGACTCACTAAGATGAATGTTGGTCTAGAAGGAAGCAAGTCCTAGGTTCTGTACTCAACCCTTGCTCCCACTTGGGCTATGACTTCCTCACTTCTCCATCCATGTTATCCAGTGGATATTAAAGTCAAGGTGCAGTGGTTCATCTTCAAAAGGAGGGCTGGAAAGGGAACTATATAACACCTAACCTGTGGGCTGGTGGTTAGAACATTATGCTGAAAGTCAGAGAGGCATAGCTCTAAATCCATTCTCAACGAGGGGGCCTAAAATCTGAGTCTCCAACTTCCTGAAGGAATGTTATAACCACTCAACTTTATGGTGCTAAAACATGGGAGAACCACTCCTCATTTTTTCAAGACTTACACCCAAATATGCATGTAAATCATTGCTTGGCCAATGCATTGTCTATTGAACGTGCTTAGAAGCCATATGGGCACTTATGCAAACTGTGCATAAGTACCAAAAATGCCATTTATATGACTGGAAAATAGTCATAAAGGGTAATTTAGCCATATAATTAGCATGATGACAAACCCAATTTAGCACCTGGCGCAGGCAGAAACAAATCATCTTTAAAAATGTGTTAGCTGCCCAGGGTTAATCCTGTGGATGACCTTCGTTCCAGTTAAGGATAAAGTGATGTTTAACATTACATTAGTTAAAATGTGCTAGCTTCATATGATTTCTAACATGATGAATCTTTCCATGGCAGGCAAAGCCTAAAAACATCCCAAGTGTTTGGTGATCTGTGGTCTGAAGTTATACTTCATACCAGTCATTAGTGCAAGACAAAGAAAAAAATGGCTATACTCTCAGTCTTTGAAGCTATAATTTTTACCTACAGCTTTTAAATAAACAACAGAAGAGCTAAGCAACTTTGCACTAGCTTTTATGTACTGTGAAAATTCTTCAGAACTAAAACTGCCTCCCCTCCACCCCGAGTGTGCACATGGAGAGTTACCACTGCGTATCTGATGCACTGTAAATCCCCACCCTCATTTATTTCATGTGAAAAAGTTCATCAGCTCTGGCCCTTAATGAAAAACCTTGTTTTGAAAACATCCCTCAGTTTGAGTCTTTATTTTTCATGAGGCCAAACCATGAATTTGAGTAGTTTCCCCAGTATGCATAATTTTCCTTCAGTGCTCACTTGACTACTTCAGAATCTGAACCCCTCAGTAATTTCCGCAACATAAGGGTATTTCTCTATTTTTTATTTTTAAAGATAGTCCTAAGGCAGTGTAGTCAATCTTAGCCCTTTAGTCTGTCTGCCATAAAAATTGCCTCAGATAATTACCAGTTGATGAAATTGTAAGCTTTGAAATAGCAAAATGTAATTTAATATGAATAGTGGTTAAAAAGTAAACTGACTATATAATATACCCTTTCAAGAAAGCTATTACAATCCATGGCATAAATCCAGAGTTATCATCATATTGATCATTATTATGCATCATCAAAATGACACCATAGTTATGCACAATGAAAATCTGCACATAAGTACTTCTTTTTTTTTCTTTAAAGGTTGATAAGCTCACTATTTGTAGGGACTTTTCCATGCCCTTTGTTTTGAAGCTCAAACCCTCAGTGAAAACGGTAGGGAGTTTTGCTTAAAGATTGATGACCTCAAGATTTCTGTGAATATTACATTCACAACTTAAGAATAGCTCCCACTGCTACTCTGATTAGTTTAAAATGTGTTTAAGAATAGTTGGTTATATAGGTTGAGTCTTCTGTGCCAATTTTCATGGCAGAAAATACTGTTAAAATAGCTCTTAGTGAGTTGTTTTACTCTTGAAGCTAGGTTATAATGGATAGACTCATATAACCTTAGGAACAAAGGTCTGACCAACAGCACTATAATATTGCCCTAAAAGGATTGCTGCCATTATCAAATGGGTGATAATGTTTTTTCCGTATCTTTTTCAGCTTGTCAGGGTGTCCTCTGAATGCACAAGCCATAAAAAAGGGCAAAATCTCTGAAGAACTAATGACTATCAAGCTTAAAGCGAGTGGTGGTAAGGAGATATGCAAGGGATGATTACATCTATATAGTTCTGAGAGCCCTGATTCTCATTTACATTTAGCCCCTTTACGCCACTCTCAGTGTAAAGGAGCTTCAGAATGGTTAAAACTGGAACTCAACCTCTCTTTAGCTTTTTCCTTTAAAAATAATAACATAAATTATACACCATTTCCTCGCAGCAAATACAACAGCCAGGTTTAATGGTTACATTCTGATTCAAGTTTTACAAGGCTTTTGTTTTTAATCTATTATTAATAGACTGTGAGGACCTGTCTCAGTTAAACAGAAATATAAAAAGAAGGGGAGGGGATGCATACTGAAAGCAGAATTTAGTGGTCTCATTCACACTAACTGGGTGCATTTACACAAGAAGTTTACTGCCTAATTAGCAGTACTGTGTGAAGCTTCGGTCCCTGATTCGATTCAGCAGAGATTTGGCCTGATTTGGTAGCCAAATCTCCAAATCTGAATCAAATCAGGAGACCTTTTAACCTCTGAATTGAATCGGAATCCTCCAAACTGATTTGGAGAGATTCAGGAAGATTTGGTGATTTGGATATAGACACAGCTTTAAATGTTTTTTCTACATACTTCGGTACCAGACGGCTTGTGAACGCCAAGATGCTGGGATGGATGGAGCGTCCCACAGAAGCGTGGTGGGCTCCCCAGCGCACTCGACAGCAGACCTGGAAGTGGACCAGAGTCACTTCCGGTCCACTTCCGGGTCTGCCAGGGAGCACACTGGGCTGCCCCCCCCC